GTCCCAGGGAATATGTTTCTGGTTGTCTGCTAAGAATTAATAAAAGAAATGTCATTCAAACACTCATTATTGGATACCTCTCTGATTTTCTTTGGATCAATACTGTTGAAGTGATCACAGAAAATGAAAAGGTTTAAGAGTGCTGATGCATCACACTTGTCAGGGCTGTAAGTATCGGCTTTTCCACGAGGCATATAAGCCTGAACAGGAAAGAAAAACACACTTGGTCAATGTTGTTTGTTCCTGTCTCAGAAACTAGGAAAACATTATTTCCTAACTGAACTTTATATCAGAGAATAAGATTAATGAAACGAATGCTGGTAGCAATAACTGGTTCTAAACTTAGCTTTCTGGTGAACTAGACAAGTGGCTTTGGGTAAAGCCAACAAACTGGCTCAATTCATTTTTGTAGTTGTCATTTTCCTATTTACAATCTCACTGACAGCCTTTTGGGCCTATCATAGTGCCTGGGAATTGTGGGAGTTGAAATCCAATACTGTACAGTTAAATTCCAAAGGTCAGTATGTAGAAGCAGGCTGCCATATTTGGGCTTTCTCTTTCTGGACCTAAACACACAGGATACCAGTGTAGCAGTAGCCAGGAAGAAAGATTGAAGACTTCCTGGCTTATCTATATTACAAAAGTTGTGCAACCCTCTGAATTCAGTTCAGGAGAGGTACTTTGGAACATACGGGCTGCTCTAATGAGTTGCATAAAAATGTTCCATTGCACCCTGCACATTTCAAAACTCCCTCTGAACTAAATCTGAAGCACTGCATCGCCCTATCTTTACTACAATTTGTACTATGTGACACTCAGATGCCATTATCATCTTCTGAACTGAAATCATATAGCAGAATGAAGCACCAAAGTGGCAGGTGGCATTTGTAACCTAGAGGTCATTGCCCATAAGCATTTTTTAAAACACGTTTTTGATGGTATATCTATTTCAGTGCATGCACATACTATCCGCAGCTAAAAGGCATTTGTATAACAACCGTACACTAGTGGTCATGTACTTTACTCTCTCCTTGGGAGTATCAGAAGACAACCAAAGCCCCCCAGTTGCTCCATATTTGAAATCTATTTTATGTGGTGATAACTGACTTGCATTACCTTTGCTAATTCCCATGAGTTAGAAGGCCAGAGCCAAGGTCTGCAGTTCCCCCAATAAATCTCCCCCATCTTGTTTGTGTGGTGGCTCAAAATCTCCTTTTTCCATTCTCTACACAAGGAACAGATAGGCTGAAACTGCAAAGTGAAAGAAACACCAATATAAGCAACCTTCCAACTCCATATATGCAGTCCTTTACCCAAGGGAATTACCAAGATTATTTTAGACTTATTTTCAACTTGAAAGGATAAAAAGTATCATTATTTCCAAAACAAAAATAAGCAGTTTCCAATCTCAAATGTTTACAACTATAATAGGCAAAGAATAAAAGATAGTGGAGAAAGAAACAAAGGAAAACATGAAAGGGAAAACATTAAAATATTTGCTTTCTCAAACACATACATATGCCCCAAATCTCAAAACTGCAATCAGGCTCAAGAATGGAGGATAAGGATCTTTACTCTTGCCAAAAAAAGAGGCAAAGGTGCTGAGGCAACAAAAATCTCTAATTTTAATGGATTTCTCACAAGGGTTGCAGTCTGGCATCCAAGAGAATCCTCTATATAAATAGCAAGAAGGGCTGGAAAAACTTCTGTGGACAATGTCATAAAGCTTTAGAAGCCTAGAAATGGGGGGGGGGGGATTCTACCTCTGCCCAGTTGAAAATTGTTTTACTGTTTCACCAAAAACTATTTGGATAAAAAAAAATTGCAGTCAAATGTGTTATGATCTTTCAACCCTAACTCAGTTCAGTCTTGTGAATGTTTTAAAGTGTCCATCATGACTCATCACATTGTGAAAAAATATTTGTTAAATTTGTATGCCGCCCATCTCCCCCAAGGAATGACTCTATTCAGCAAATCTTGTCTGATCTTTGCACACTTCAATGCATTCACAAATTCACCTTTGAGCACAGATCACAATCTGGATCTGGATGTATAAAAAAGCTTGTGTGATTCAGCCTAATAAAGAAGAGTAGATGTGAAGATTTTCATGCTCGTGATAGTTAAGAAAACTTTGAAAAACTGTCATGTAATATAAATTGACATGGAACAACTTAATCTTTTCAGCAGTCCTTAAAAAGGACAATGGCTGAAAGAATAGTAGGTATCCTTGTGCCAGTTCTGTCCTAGTAAGCTACAAATATATTGTATACTTTGTTTTGATATTTTCAAATAAGGAATTTGCATATGCCTTTCTCTACTACGTCTTTTGAGCTGATTTGAGAATTGTTGAAATACAATTTACTAAGGCAGTTATTTATCCTGAGGGCTGTGAGTTAAAATAAGGCTCCGCTTTGTAACTTGCAAAACATGCTCAGAAGCTGAGGGCCAGTTAGATAACCTGCCCTCCATGCTAGTTAATCACAGGAATTTATCACAGGCAAAAGGAGGGGGGCAAACGCCGAATATTTAGCCCCCTCTCCTCTTAGACTTCCCCTCACAAGAGGCGGCTCTGGCTGGCGGAGCCGAATTCTTCGTTCCACCCGGACTTCCTCCGGCAGCCCTGCCCTTCTCCCCGGATGTTGACGCGGGCCTCCCTCTCGAGAAGGCGGTTAAGCAGAGCAGAACAGACCGGGAAAGAAAGGCACGAGGGGTGCTTGTCCCTATCGGCAGTTTTTCAGCTCAAAATCCCCCTCTCTCGGGGAGAAGAGTAACGTTCGAGCTGAGGAAAAAGCGGTGCGGGAGAAAACCGCCGAGCAGGGGGCGGGATTGGAACTAAAGGGTGTAGCCAAGGCAAGCTTCCCAAGGCTGGTTCCTGGAGGTTGCTGATAGGATCTGCACCAGGTCGAGGGGAGATGCACGTATCTTTAGGAACGGACCAGCGAAGGCGCGTTGATTGCTTCCGAGCAGCATTTGCGTTTAGCGCAAACGGGACGATCGATTCTGCGGAGGCCCGGGGCCAAGACGTGCCCCGCTCCTGCGACGGCCAGAGCTCCGGGTGCGAGGTGGGAAGCCTCACCTGCTTGCCTCGAGGGGTGCAACGCCCGCCACACCGGCGGCCTGGCGGGGTTAAGCGAGCGGAGTCGCTCGCGATGAGCTGGCGGTGGAAGGCGTGAATTTGCTCTCCGGCAAAGCGCTGCAGGGCAGCTCTCACGAGTAGCAGGCTGTGCCCGGCCTTCAGCCAGTTTTTGTACTCGGCGCTGTTGAGCCGCGCAGCCAATTCCGCCAGCGCCATCGCAAGCTCGTCGGCGCTACTCGTGTCAGCAGGGAGTGGCCGGACTAAGCCGTGGCAAAAGCGGGGCGGATTTCTGTCGTCACTCCGCGAGGACGGGCGGAGGCTTTCGACGGCGTTTAGCAACACACTCTCGAGTCTTCCCCCCCCCTCGAATAGATACTTAATAGGATTCCTCAGTAAAATACCCGCTACTCGCTTCTCAAGATTTAGAAAGGTCAGCTCCCCGTGATCCAATCTCTCCTTTGCATAGGGAGACGGAATAGGGGAACTGCTTTCTACATAAAACTCAGCGAAGTTCCATTAGTTTAATGCTCCTGCCGTGGACCTGTAACACAGCCTTCCCTAATTCGATGCTCTCCTTGGATGTCGGATTACCATAATCCTCCAAGTAGGTTCCTAAACACTACAGAAACACTTAGCGGTATTTCACCATTCTGAATTTGTTGCTTCCCTCTACGTTCTTTGTAAAAGCAGTTTCTTCTGCACCAGGATTTACCCAGGCTGATATAGCCAGAGACATTGTCGGCCTCCATCTCTTTAGGAAGTTACAGTACATGTATTAATTTAGTTCTTGAGTTCTACTAGGGTTACCAGACTTCCAGCAAAAGGAGGACATGTCCTCTGTCCAGCAGGCAGCCTTAAAATCAAATATTGCCCAGCTTTTGGAGTAACTAACAAGTTTAACTCTTCCTGAGCAGCATTTCTCCATGGCACAGCGCTTCCCTAGTAAGTGCAAACTGAAGATAACAAACTCAGCTCTCTGACCTTTTTTAGTTGATTAGTACTCTCCTGCCAGCTGACACTGCTGCCTGAAATTGACAAGACCTTTATTTACTTATATGTCACATTTATATAGCCACACACAAAGAATCACACAAAGCGATTCTTCAGTTACATGCTGAGGATGTTTGCCTTTAACTGGGTCTAGCACATTCCTGTGATGGAAAAACCAGTCTTTCTGATGCTGGAAAAAGTAATTTCATATACATGTAGGCCTAACTACATTTTTTCCCCCAGTTTTTCATTAATTTTTGTCACAGATGCCAGAAAATTAAACAGTGTGTCCTCTTTTTTCCATCTTTCCAATTGTCCGTGTCCTCCTTTGCCTGTGCAGATATCTGATAATCCTAAATTCAACACACAGAATCTTCATGCCAGCATTAGGACATCCCACAGTAAATTAATTGACAAAATACAGCTGCAAAGTGGAATGATCACCTTAGATGCTATTTCAAGCAGGTTCCTTACTATTCTTCTAGCATGAGGAATAACCACCACAATACAGAGCATATTTTTAGTTCTGGTTTAGGAATACCAGAATGTGACTTTTGTCTTTTCTCCTTATCTCCCATCAGAAGAAATCCCTCTATTTAAAAAGAACCTGTTTCAAATTCATCTGTCAATAGTGCATAATATTGATTTTTAAAAGGCAGCCGGAAGGTTCACCAGGCACAGTGCTAAAGAACTCAAGGCAGTTGCCAGGAAGATACTGTCCAAGAACAAATAAGGTCAGGGGGAAAAGAACAGCCACCACCCATCTACTCCAGGCATTTCTAGAAATCATCAGCTTGACTAAAAGCATTTGACAACATCCTACTGCTTGATTTGATACTTGTCAAAGATGATTGTCAACAATGATCTAATGAAAAACAGCAAAACACTAAGATTCTTTTCCTGTATAAATGCACATTTTTGAAGTAACTTTTTTAAAAAAAATCTAGTTTATTAAATATTGCTTTTGGGGACATGTTTATAACAAGCCCATTTTTAACATTTCAAAGCAGTAATATTAAAATACAGTTTCAATATAAAGTCACAGTTTTACAGTATTCAAAAAATGACAGACTTGCCTTAAAAAAAGACTATTACAGCAAGACATCAGAAAAAAACATTTAAATAAACAAATTTGGCATTTTCATAATCTTTGAAGTATAAAACAGAATATTAACTCTATTTACTGCCAAGTGAATACATAAATTTATGAGTCTGAAATGTCTTCTTAAAACATTTTAAGAGTGCTGTACCCCAAAAAAAAAAAAAACTGATGAAAGTGCATCCCTGAAAGTAGGCCAATCCATTGTATCAGCTCTTTTTAAAATGTGACACGTGACACGTCTCTTCCATTCTAAGTAACCAAAGGCTTTATTTCAGAGAGATGGTTTTTCCGCTTCATCTCACTTTTACCCTTTGTATAAAATAGCCTATGGACGCCCACCAGGGGGCAATGTAAGGTTAGCCATTAAATCACGAACAGCTGCAAAGATTGTACACTCACCTAGAACAAGGGAAAGAAAAACAAGTTAGAAAAGTAGATTACATTATGGCAGTGATAAACATCAAAATGTAAACAACTGTAACAAATATACAATTTATGCACCATAAACAGTAATTTCAATAGCCTATATTATTGCTTTGTTCTAACCTACTAGAAAGTGTACAGTTGGTATAGAAAATAAAAAGTATGTCTTTTAAATACTGACTGCTACATAATATACACATATACCATCATAGCCAAGCTATTGAGATTTTCCAAATGCAGGAAAGATCATGCATTTAAAAGAGCCAAAAGCAAGAATATTGGTTGTGGATTAGAAATCAAATTCTGTTCAGCTGTAAATATTTCAGTCTTCCATGTATATTAATTATCCTGTGCTCCTTAAGGGAAATGTGAATGCTAAACTATATTGCCAAAGAGTGAGCAATTAGTACTATTAGCAAGAGTGATGCTAATAGTACTGAAGAAGAACAGTTTTGATAACTATTAGAAAATGCAAGACAATTGGACAGTTACTGCTGGAACTGCTGTTAACAGTTACATTAATAATATTTTTCAATCTTTAAATGAAAAAGTTATTACTAAATCAGAATAAGAAGTCAGTGACATTAGGAATTAACTATGTTAACACTATACAAACCATTTTTTAAATCCAATTGTGTATGATTCTCGGAGACTGCCTGAACAAGTCCCTGCAGTTTTCCTGGAAAGGTTTTTCGGAAGTGGTTTGCCATTGCCCTTTTCTAGGGCTGAGAGAAAGTGACTGGCCCAAGGTCACCCAGCTGGCTTTGACTGTGAGCTAGGCAGAACCCAGAGTCTCCTGATTTCTAGCCTGATGCCTTAACCACTACACCAAACTGGCTCTCGTATACAAACCATAAAACAACTCTATTAGTATCCTAGCACATTTGTTGACAAGAGACTCAAAGACAAAGATCAGCTACCATTTCAAAAGTGGCAGCTCAAGCAGAGTGTGTTTTTAATCTGGCAAAAACTTCACAAGCTGTATGCCTACAGCTTTTGAAGGTGTTGCTATGTTTACTCTTTAAGGAATAAAATCTGTGAGGCCTTTATTAGATAGGAATGTTTCTAGCAGAGAGTATATATGTTACTTACATGTACACTGGGCTTCAACTTACAATTTCAAAATGACAAAGCAGTGAAAAGTAGCCATGGAGTCTTCTCAAAACTTCAATTTAGAAGGCATACATTAATTATCTTGATGCCATTATATTTTATAGTGATGTGAGAAAAGATGTTGCAAGTTTAAAACCACACATGCCAATTTTAATTTTTTTTCCAGTTTCGGTTAAGCCCCAAGAGTAGAGCCAGATGACCAATGCCCCAGTAACTGTTCAGTTACAAACTAGAACTGCATTTCCCCTCCCACGAGTATCACTGCTTCGATAACTCAGTTAAGTTGCTCTCTGAAGCATGCATGGATTACAGGTAGCACACACAATATTCCAAATGCTAGTGCCTATTGGATGAATGTTGGATAAGTCACCTTGAACCATATACCCTGGTGAAAACACATGACTAACCCTCCCAAAATTGTAGTTACCTCCATGGCGATCAGAGGCTCAGATGGAGTGTTACCAAAAGTAAAGGCAAGCATTTGAAGAGGCATCATCCACATCACCTCAATCCTATAACCTGCTTGCATATAGTCAAGTGGTGTATATCCACACAGTGCAACTTTAGAATCTCTGCTCATCAGCATGATCATACTACCCTATAACTGTGCTGGCTTAAAAAAAAAACTTAAAAGCCAATATAATTACTTGTAATCTCAAACCAATAAGCAGTTAACAAGGAGAGAAGAAATCTTCTGAGAGGTTAGTGTCTTGGGCAGAAATTGCAAACCCAAGAATAAAACTGTTGAAAAAAATGCATTTCAAAAGTTTCTAACACTTTTATTAAGGGAAAAAGTGAAACTGAATACAAAAGCATCTCACAGAAACAAAGCAGGTAGCACAAAAGAGAAGGTACAGTCAAGGTAAGATGTTAGTCATGGGATACAGATAATAAAGCTAGTACTGTAATATGTAACTTTATGGAATAATTTATAAATCAGTCCATCTTGCTGGCTCCCTGACTTTCCTTGAGGGAGTACAAATGAGAACAAGATAGGTAGCCAACCTTATAACAATTAAATTACAATAAATGGGAAGTCATATTCCTACAGCGCAAGATGACTAACAAGCACTATTTTTTACATAAGTATATATACAATGAGTCACATGGTAATGTTTAAAATAGTGTAACTATGACCATAGTAGTATAAGCCAAGCCATCAAGTGCATTACACTTCCTTGGTCAATGATATAAAGTCCATGTCATGTCAATAATACAACCCTTCTGACACCACAGAGAGGTATATTCAGACAGTTTATCACTTACATGCATTAATCAAAACCAGGTTTTAATAAAATCAATGAAGGCAAAGCAACACTCATGATAAAGTGCAATATTTAAACTTTAACTGTTGGGACTCTGGCCACTCAAGCATGCAGATGATTTGACCTACTGCACATGTACAGTACCTGGCCGTGGTGAATTCAGTTCTGCAAACCTCTTTAGAATATTGCTAACCATCATGGGAGCAGCAACTGAAGAGTTCTGCTGCCGGGGAATGTCTGCCTGCTGTGTTGTACCTGAAGCCATGTCATAAATGATTGGAACGATTATGCTCATGGCTTCCTGTGGAACTGCAGATTTTTGTGTTAGCTGAAGCTGCCAAACAGAACAACACATATAATGATTACCACAGTAATTCTACACCAAAATCTTAGCATTAACATGGATGCTTTGGGGAATTATACAAGTCAGCCCAATTTTCTTCATTGCTCACTAGATTTATTTTAGTTCACTCCTCCTTAATTTAACAAAAAATTTAAAGTCAATTTAAAAGATTGCCGACACAGGTCATTATCTAAATCTGAAGAGATTACAAATGCAAACCTACAAATTTGCTTCTAAAATGCATATTTACATTTTTTATTTACTTCCTAGGCCTTTTGTAATAACATATGAACACTATTTTTGCAAGTACTTCTGGTTCAGTTTTTAAAATAATCAGTTATGTTGTCCGTGTATTTATGTTTGTGTCTGCACTCAGACAAGCCCTCCAGGTCAATTATGTTCTTTTAATTTTTTTTTTCACAGAAAATGTTACTTTATTTAGGAATGCTCAAAGGTCATGCATCAAATGAGTGAGGAAATATTTAGAAGAAAATGGCAACCAATTCAAACATTTAATGTAATTTATATAATAAATTGTCTATGGGACCTGACTTTTGGTATATCCTGTATATGTATTATATGCATGTATGTACATATAGTTAAAACTTGGTATTGATAAATTAGTGTAATGTAATAGTTACACTATTAAGATAGGGACTTGGGAGACCCAGGTTCAAGTTCCCCTCAACTATGGAGCTCATCATTTGTCAGCCCAATTGAGGATAAAGTGTAACGAAGCTTCGTGCATACTGCTCTGCATCCTCAGAAAAAGGCAAGATATAAATGCAAATAATAAAGGTACTTGCAAACTCTAAATAAATAAATAAATAAATTCGTATTTCACTACACTTTAGATTTTCAAAGGACAAGTTTAAATTGGTGTGACATCAACTGGACATATTTTAAGACCCTAACTTTAATTTTGAATATGTTTAACTGCTGCATATTACCAAATAGCTCTCCTGTTGAAGAGTGGAAAAGCAAGATGAGCGAATAATGATACATGCATCATATCATACAAATGATGCAACTTATGTACTTACATATGTAACTGTATCATTTGGGCCATGATGCACTTGTCATTTTACTATTGTTAGGGCTTGTTATGGTTGCTGATAATAGCTATCTGCGTCTGCATGTACAAGGTTAAAAGGGTATGTTTTAGAAGAATATAGATGCCTTTTAATTGACTTTCTTTTTCTGCTCCTTGAAATTCTGGAAGTTACTATTCATAACTGTATTGGTTTGGCTGTGCTACCATAACAAATTAAATACAGAGCATTTTTTAAAAATCTAAGAAACTAGACTAGTTCCAAAAAGTTGTATCCGTTTTTTTTCAAAAGAAATAATTCAACAATGCTAGGCATATTTAAGCTCAGTTAAAGCAGTGAGTTAATGTTATTACGTGTTTTCTTGAAAGACTACGCCAAATAGAATCGTCATCATCATCCACTGTTTTACTTACAAAGAACAACATTTTCGATTTCAGCACAACTGCAGGTGTTCCTGGAGGTGCAATTGGTGGAGCACTTGGAGGGATTGTCAAACAAAACTGTACATTCCATTTCAGCTGGCTTGCCTGATCGGGAAACTATTTAATAAAACATGCCATTGAAATAGATAAATAATCCAGGTTCAGTTTTGAGTAGAGAAAATATTTGCAATAGTGATGAGAAAAAAATTGACTTACCAGCTCTAGTTTCATGATGTGAACACAATCCCGAAGAATATGTGTAGGTGCTCCTAGTAGCTTGGTAAAGGCTATTAAAGTATTGGCTTTGAATGGTGGCCCTGCAACCTGTAATAAATGCAGTATTTTTATAGTGTTTATTTAGATCAGTTTTCCCTTTCTTCATAACTCCAGAATAAATTATAACTTATCTAATTGGTAACATTGTGAAAGTTGTAGTTCAGTTCAAAGGAACATCATGAAACTGGGAAACATTAGATTAGTTGCCATTGGTTGGGCACCACTTTTCAAAACTTTTTTCAAGGTTTCTCTGCTCCTGATCATGGAACAGTGGGTTCTGCTAGTTCCATGAAAATCAGTTCAAAGATCTTCTATCTCTTACTGACTGTCCATGAAAAATCACAGCACCCCAACTACTTTATTCACTAAGCCCTCAAATTACAACAACATGGGACAAATACATACCCTGGTTTCAAAAAATTTCTCCAAAACTTGCAATTCTTCTTGCTTCCACTGGCCTGCAGTTTCAGGTGCTACTTTTAGTTGCAAGGTCTGGTTAGTTTTGGGATTAAGGGCAACTCTACACTTCAGGGCATCTGTCTTGAACATGATCACTCCAGGTTCATTGGAGTTGATTAGCTGCAGCTGTTAAAAGAAAGCCAAGACATCTCATTGAGATGAAAGCTCTCATCCACACTTTATTATAAGTCTGAACAGGGACAGAAAATTTTATTTAAAGGTAAATGAAAAGCATTGTTATTGGCTGATGAAATTTAACAGTTCCTCTCTACTGTCAGTAATAAATAACAACTTGCTTAATGATCAGTACAGCAGCTTTATGAAAATAGCTTATCTGCTTTATAATCCTACCACAAGAAAATACTTTATACCAACTCAGCAGTGAGCATTGTCTATTCAACAGAAAGACCCATCAGTCTTTGACAGGGCAACATGTATTTTTTCCCCGAACTACCCAAACCTGTAATATATCTCCCATAAGATTCTTATTTTGATTCTTATTTGGAATTATATAATTCCAACAGATTTCCAATGGCATAGACAAGAAAAAAGTTCACAGGTGAGCCAGAAGTTGGACCAAATGTTTCCAAATGTAAACACTTATCAAAGTGTTTTTAATTTGCATTCCTAGGAACTCAGGAATTCTTCAATAGGAGGACTGGTAATATAGCAGTGGATGAGCCACATTTGGGATAAGCATCTATTGTTTCAAATGCTTACAAACAATTAAAGAACATGGTTTGCAAAAGTAGAATTTCTATTTCCACGCATACTGAAGAGAGGAGAAAAATGAAGTTTTGCACTTCAGCAACTGCTTATGGAATTAAACATTTTGATCCTATTAGTACCGTCTCCTGCTGAATAATCCTTTGGAGATGCCTTCTCATAATAACCGATCCAAGGAAACGTTCAAGCGGTGAACAAAGATAACTTCCCGCAAGTCCTGGCATAAGTCCAGGGGTTGGTGAGGGCAGCAATAAAACATTCAAGGCACTGTGAGTGAGAATTGTTGGTATAGATGCAGCCCAGGAACGGTGAGGTAGTTTACGAGGTGGGGGCATATTGGTTGGCACTGCTTGAGAACCTGGTGGAAATAAAGAATATCTTATTCCTCCTGCCTTGTGATAAATTGCAGACTCACAATGCTCAGTGAATTTCAACAAGATTTTGCCTAGGATCATGTAACACCAACAAGCCTTCATCAGTTTGGTCCCAGGACTTGCCCAGCAATACTAAAAATCTGGATGACTGTGTAATTATTATTACAATACTACTACTAATAAAAAATAGTTTATACTTAAAAACAGCCTGATATTATTTTGTACATAAGTAAAAATGATGAAAACCTTATCAACAAATTTTAAATTTTGGAGGCTGAACAGAATGTAAATGTACAAACAAATGCTATTTCTGAATTAGCATTTTCTTGATTTTTTAAAAAATTGCATCATTTATTTTATTATTTCCTTTAATGTTTATTTATGTTGTTGTTTTACATGGATGTTTTGATTGTCACTGTTATATTTCTTGTAAGCCACTGAGAACTGATTGATTATGGTGGGAGACAAATCCAGTAGGTAAGTAAGTAAGTAAGTAAATAAGTAGAGCCAGTTTGGTGTAGTGGTTATTGCACCAGCCTAGAAACCAGGAGACCATGAGTTCTAGTTCTACCTTAGGCATGAAGCCAGCTGGGTGATTTGGAGCCAGTCACTTTCTCTCGGCCCCAGGAGGAGGCAAGGGCAAACCACTTGTGAAATCTTGCCAAGAAAACTGCAGGTACTTGTTCAGGAAGTTGCCAGGAGTCAACACTGACTTGAAGGCACACAACAAGTATGTATTTCTGACTAAACTACTTAGCATTTTTATGGCTTCCAAAAGTATAAATACTAACGCACAAATTCTGTACATTCATGTACATTATTTGCTTTTAGGTGTTTGGAAAATGCACACTTCTTATATTTTGTTGCTCTAACTAGTCCCATAGTGCATTCTGAGCTCATTCTTTTTTTTTTTTAATAAAATTTTTTATTCTTTACAACAAACACAAAACATACATA